TGTTGTTTGTTGGTGGAGGGGCAGGGGGGGGGGGGGGGGGGGTTCAGATCTGTTCTGAAGAAAAGCAGCCAACCTGCCAGCCCCTGACAGAACTGCTCGGCCCTAGCTGCCCACTAGATTAGCTGCTGAGGAATTTGCATGGGTGAGTAGCAGCGGCGCTGTTTACTAATCAGGCTGGAGAGTACCAGGCAAGTTCCAGGTACCTCCCTCCCCTCTAGTGCTGTGGGAAAGTCCCAGACTCCCTTCCCAGAAGCCAGGCGGAACCTGGGATTGGAAAGTGCTTCCTCATCCAGCCTGCCACAAAACAGCATGGAAGCAGCAAGAGCCCACTTACGCCCTGCCAGGTCCTAAAGGAGCTTCAGGGTGTAGCCACGTTAGTTTGTTACAGAAAAAACCAACAAATGGTCTGGTAGCACTTTATAGACTAACGAAACATGTAGGTGGTATCATGAGCTTTCGTGGACACAGCTCGCTTCTTCTTCTTCATCTGCAGAAGCGGGCTGTGCCCACGAAAGCTCGTGATACCATATACATGTTTCGTTAGACTATAAAGTGCTACCAGACCAGAGGTCCTAAAGAGTCAGAATAGTGATAGAGATGCAGCCTTATTAGTCTGGTCAGTCAGAATAGTGATAGAGATGCAGCCTGATTAGTCTGGTTTAGCTGAAACAAAAGACGGAACTATGTAGCACTTTAAAGACTAACAAGATGGTTTATTAGGTGATGAGCTTCCGTGGGCCAGACCCATTTCCTCAGATCAAGAATCCTTGATCTGAGGTCATCACCTAATAAACCATCTTGTTAGTCTTTGAAGTGCTGCATAGTCCTGTCTAAAGGGTCAGAGATACTTCTTGTTCCCAACCTTGGGGCTAATTCTCTGGCTTCAGCCCCAATCAGCCTTTTTGAGTATCTCAAAAGCACTTACCCAGCCATCAGTAGTCTGATGGGGAAACGGAGGCACAGAGATGGCTGCAATGTGATTGACCTGTGATCACTACATTCCTGGAGTCCTGACTCCCAAGCCTCCACTCTAACCACTAGACAGCACTTCCCTCCCACTGCTGGGACCAGAATCCAGCAGTCCTGTTGCCTGCTTTAATCAAATGCCACCCTACCAGAGCTGGGAATGGAACCCAGAAATCCTGACTCCTCACGCCCCAGCCAACTGCTAGGCCCAGCTCTCCTTCCAACACTGCAAGTAGAACCCAGGAGTCCTGGCTCACAGACCTTCCCCCCACACACTCACACACTCTGTCTCAGACACTGACTCATGTCATGTGTTTGTGGCGGTCCTGAGGGGGGTTGTTATCAGAGCAGAGTCCGCTGTGACCTCAGCTGGCACTGGGATGTGAGCCTAGGAGGGCAGAGGACTGACTACTGGAGGGTTTGGAGCAGCGCCTGTGGGGAAAGCCCAGATCCCTGCCTCAAATTCCCCAGGACATCCAGGCCTCCCTGCTGTGTGGGACCTCTGAGGTGGCAGAGAGGGGCTGGCTCCTGCACCTTATGGGCACCCAACAATGAGATCCTTTCCCTGAGTTGCTCCCCGCCCCCCGGATACTGCAGAGACAGGGTGGGGCCCAGATCTCTGATTCTTCTTCACACAGCGTGTAGTCAACCTGTGGAACTCCTTGCCCCAGGAGGTTGTGAAGGCTAGGACTATAACAGAGTTTAAAGAAAAGCTAGATAATTTCATGGAGGTTAGGTCCATAAAAGGCTATTAGCCAGGGGATAAAATGGAGTCCTTGGCCTCTGTTTGTCAGAGGCTGGAGAGAGATGGCTGGAGACAAATTGCTTGATCATTGTCTTCGGTCCACCCCCTCTGGGGCACCTGGTGCTGGCCACTGTCGGCAGACAGGATACTGGGCTAGAAGGACCTTTGGTCTGACCCAGCACGGCTGTTCTTATGTTCTTTATTCTTCCCCTGCCTCTTTCTGGGCTCCGTTGAATAGCCCTGCCCTGGCGTGAGTCCGCAGAGCTGGCCCTGCCCATGGGCAGGCTGACACTGAGGGTCACAGGACAGGCTGAAAGGTTCCCAAGGAAATACCAGCACACAGTGCGGGGGACCCACCGCCCAGGCACAGAGGTGCCCAGCGCTCCGTGCCAGAGGGAAGCTGGGAGGGGCATGGCCAGGTTTGGGGGATGGAGAGCGAGCTGGGAGCTTCTGCAGCTCAGTGAGAGGTTGGGTCCAGACAGCCTGAGCCCAACTCCCAGCAGGGGCCCCTTCCCAAAGGGGAAATTCCAACGCAGGCCGTCCTCTCCAAATAGCCCTAGCCTGGGTGCAGAGGGCATTCTGGGGTGTCTCAGGAGTGGGGGGCGTGAGGGCAGAAGGGAGTTGGCTGGGGTTCTCCTGCCCGCCAGCTGTTCCCTGGATAGGGCTCTGGGGTGGCCAGCTGAGGCAAAGGCAGAGGGATGAACAGCGGGTGGGGGAATTCTAAGCAATGCCCGAGAGAGCCCAGACGCTGAATGAAGAAGCGTGCCCCTGGCTACCCTAGTGCCCAAGAGGTCAGGCCATTCACCCAGGGAGCGGTGTTGCCATCGCCATGTTAAACTTTAGCCAGTTCAGGGGCTGTCAGGCACTTCTAACAACCCAGCCAGCTGGACAGACGCCCCTCGCTGTTGGGCAGCCCATGGGAAGGGAGCTGGTGAGTTTGTGGTGCACAGAAGGATCACCGGGAGACAGCAACACACCCTATAACGGGCTGGAAAGCTCCCCCCCCCCCATGCAGATGCAGTTCCACTGGGGTAAAACCATAGCTTATTCCAGTTCAGGGAGGGAAATGAACCTGTCCCGAAGGGACGGCCTGCAGCCCAGGGCTGCCCCGGGAAAGCATCACAGCACCACAGACACCAAATGGGCCCTGCCTACGCTGCCAGCTCCTCCCCAGCACGTGACGTTTAAAAAGTATTTCACACAATTCAAATACAACCATCCAGTAGAAACCGCGGGTTCGAAAGCTTGACCAGCCTGTGCTCCCCGGCGGGGTGTGCAACCCACATACGGCGAGACGAAGACCGAGGGACAACGGTTCTCAAGTGGCCTCTGTGCATGGCGGTTTGTGGTGATGCGGCCGTGTCCCACCCCGGAGGTAGTTGGCTCTCAAGGGCAAGTGACTTTATTCTGAGTCAGGGCTGGATCTTATCAAACCGTGGCTCCCAGGCTGTCTGGACTATGTGCAGGCCAGATGGCAAAGTTGGGCTGGAGACCGGACTGTGGGGTTGAGAGGCCAAGCAGAGTTCTCTCTCTCCTAATCACTGCCCCATTTCCTCCTGCCCCTCGCCAGCTCCCTCCCTCCGCCTTGGCCCCCATCTGTTCCTTACAGCCATGCCCCCCACCCCTGTTTTCCACCCTTTCTCCCCAAGTCCTCATGTTTTCACCCTCATGTTCTCCCTCTCTGCTACCCTAGTCCTCTGCAGCCCCCAATCTACCTTCTGTACCCTCTCAAGTGCCTGCCTGGATGTCACTAAAGGGCACCTCTCAATTTTTAAAATTCGGGATCATCAGTAGACACATCTGTTTACTCAGGTTGGTAAGACACCTGCGGATAGACCATCCAGCTCCAGAGGGCACAAGAACAGCCAGACTGGGTCAGGCCAGTGGTCCCTCTAGCTCAGTGTCCTGTCTCCTGACTGGCGCCAATTGCTTCAGACAGAATGAACCCAACGGTAATTACCCAGCGATCCATCCAGTCGCAGCTGCTGGCAGTCAGAGCCTAGGGACACCCCGCGCAGGGGGCTGTGTCCCTGGCATGGAATCGGAGAGACTTTGCCTCTTTGATTTCTCTCTTGTGGGACTCTGAAAATCAATGGCTATGCAAACATCGGTCGGCTGATGCCAGAAGCTAAAACCCAGGGAGGTGCTGGGCACCTGGGGTTTGGTGCCTGCAATCTGAGGGGTGTCGAGGTGCCTGCCCCCATGTGCTGAGTCACGGCCCCTTACTACCACTCAGCACGACCTGCAATCTGAGAATTTCCAGCCAGCAGGCGGCCAGGCCAGCCGAAAGGAGGGAATCTCCCTCATTTCATTGGAACTGTTTTCCTGCATCACTGCTGGGGGCGGGGGCAGAAATCCTTGTAGGCCTGTTAATTGGCTGGTAATTAAATCAGCTAAAAAACCTCCCCACCAGTTCAACGGCGGGCACAGGCTCTGCCCTGCGACCCACGCCTGAGCGGATCCCAGCAGAGAAAAGGAAGCAGGGGAGTGTCGTTATCGGGGATTCAGTGACTCAGGACCTCTGCCATTGGCTACCAGGCAAGAGCCCTGCCTGGCCGATTGGTTAAGGAGAGACCCATTTCTGACTGTGATTGGCTGTTAAGTTCTATATAGGGGCAGCGCTTGTCCCTCCTCCTCATTCCTGCAGGGCTTCAGTGGAGTGGAGTGTGGTGACTTGGTTGGAGCTGCAGAGTCTCCTGCGCTGGGCTGGAGAGAAGCCAGGACCCCCACCCCACTTCACGCCCTCCTCATCATGCGGGAAAGGAGGAGTCCTCAGCCAGCTGTGGCCAGGTGTAAGCTAGTCCTGGTGGGGGATGTGCAGTGCGGGAAAACTGCCATGTTACAGGTGCTGGCGAAAGACTGCTACCCTGAGGTGAGTGCCTGGGGGCATCTGGCCTTGGGCTACCCAGGACTGGTCCCTATAGGTCTGCTGGGTGAGCATTCCTGGCATGCCTCTCTGAGCCTCTTTCTGGCCCCTTCCAGAGTGCTGAGCATGGACTTGTGGGCACTGATTTCTTGGGGGTCCCCTGGAAACCTCTGACACTCAGTGTGGGCTCTGGGGCTGGCATCCTTCCTGGCAGGGGTCTTTGTGCCTGAGCCAGCTCTGCCGGTGGCTCCCTGTAGCAATGTGGCAAATGGCTGCTCCTCTGCAGGGGAGGCCAGTGGGGGGTGTGACTATGGCTCCCCTCCCCGCACACATTCCGCACTGTCCAGCGGAGCGTGCCTGGCTCTGGCTGGCAGCTGGGCTAGTGCAAGATTGCTGGGCAGGTCCCAACAACCCCCTGAGCACCTAGGATGGCAGCATCCTCCCCTCAGGCTGGGGGCTCTGGGGCCTGGGTGGTGACAGGTGCCCGCTCTCCATCACAGACCTATGTGCCCACGGTCTTCGAAAACTACACTGCCTGCCTGGAGACAGAGGAGCAACGCGTGGAGCTGAGCCTGTGGGACACCTCGGGTAAGGAGCCCCCCAGGTGGGCGGGAGCTGGAGAGGTAATGGGGGTGGGGGGTTCTTTGCACATCCCCTCTGCCCCTCCCAGCTTGGAACGTGTTGGGTTCTGTCTAGGGGTGTGGGGGAGCTCCCGGTGCAGGGTGGGGACTGCCCACTGCAGGGAAGCGTGTGAAGAATTGAAGAGGGAGCTCTTTAAGGAGGTGGCCAGTTCAAGGCATGAGCCCCCCCCTTTAATTCTTTCAGTGGGGTGGGAGGGGCTACCATTGCAGGGTCAGACTTGGCTTTGCCTTGGGAAGCCCCCCTGCCCGTAGCATCTTACTCCCCCCCCCCCC